TGATAAGGAGCAGCCTGTAATTTTCATGACCAGAATGATGAATATTAATGTCCTCAATCATATATAGTACTTAAGTTTCTTTTTTTATCCTCACACTAGGACATTTTTGCATTTATCTTCAGATAGAGAAGAAGGGAGAGAGGAAGAGAGAGAGAAACATCAACGTGAGAGAGACACATTGAGTGGATGCCACCCACATGACCCCAACTGGGGCCGGGGATGAACTGCACCCGAGGTACGTGCCCTTAGCAGGAACCAAACCCAGGACTCTCTGAACCAAACTGGCCAGAGCCAGGACTTAATTCTTTCTGAAGATGACATTTAACATCCTATGTATGCAGCTGGATCATTAAAAATTATGAACTAATGCCCTGATCAGTTTGACTCAGTGGTTAGAGCGTCGGCTCACAGACCAAAGAGTCACAGGATCGATTCTGGTCAAGGGCACGTACTTTGGTTGCAGTTTGTCCCTGGCCCTGGTTGGGGTTCGTGCAGGAGGCAACCGGTCGATGTGTCCCTCTCACATTGAGGTTTCTGTCTCTCTCCCTCTTTTCCTCTCTCTCCCTCCTTCCCACTCTATCTGAAGATGAATAGAAAAATATCCTTGGATGAGGCTTAAAAATAAAAAATATTATGAACCAAACCAGCACAGAGATATAGTTGTTGACTTCATTAAGCTACTGCTTATTAATAAAATGTCATGATTCAAATTTATTGTGCTACCTTTACAAACATGTGGAACAAGCTGAGTCCTTAGGAGAAATTTATGTGGGAAAATGAGTCTTTAGGGGATTCACATTATGCAATTTAATTCTTTATTTTTATTTATTTATTTTTTTAATCCTATCCAAGGACATGTTTGCATTTATCTTCAGATAGAGCAGGAGGGAGAGAGAGGGAGGAAGAGAAAGAGAAACATTGACATGAGAGAGACACATCGAGTGGTTGCCACCCACATGACTCCAACCGGGGCTGGGGACAAACTGCAACTGAGGTATGTGTCCTTAGCGGGAACCGAACCTGGGACTCTCTGGTCCGCAGGCTGACGCTCTAACTGCTGAGCCAAACTGGCCAGGGCAAATTCTTAAGCCCATGAAAAAATATAAACATTAATTAGATGTACAAGATAAGCCTTGAGTAATTAGAATAGAAAATGTCTGATTATAATTCTTGCCCCTCACATTAAATGAGAAATGATTTATATGAGAAAAAGAAAAACTTCAGCACGTATGGCAGCATCCTTTTTTAAAAATAAGCAAATTCCCCATTTATATAATTAAATATCTATGTACACAGGAATTTTTTTCAAAATTTAGTAGATGAATGTCTTATTAAAATTATCATAAGGATAAGTATCTGTTTTATCAGATTTAAAATAAACTACTCCATTTCAAGATGTTGGCCTCAAGAATAAAATAACACCTGACAATTTGAAGAAAAACTCTCCTAAGTCTACATAAGAATGATGATTCAACTACCTAAAATGTTTCTTCATTTAAAACAAATTAATATGCAAATTAAATGTAAATATACACATATATGTGTTTCTGGGGTATGCATGTATGTGCATGTGTGTACATTCAAATGTTTTAAAGGATACCAGTTCTGTAATATATTATGATTCAGCAGTTCATTCTGATATCCACATATACACTTAGAAAGCACAAATCCATTTTTCCACGGGATTTTTACAGGTGTTATTTCACATGGAAACATCGCCATCTGCTGGCTATTGGAACTGCTTGTACATTAACATGAAATCTATTATGGACTGTAATGCCCATTTCTTTTCTTTTTTTATCCTCAACCGAGGACATTTTTTACACCCATCTTTAGACAAAGCAGGAGGGAGAGAGGGGGGAAGAGGGGGGGGGAGAGAGAGAGAGAAACATTGATGTGAGACACATCAACTGGTTGCCACCCACATGACCCCAACCAGGACCGGGGACAAACCGCAACCAAGGTACATGCCCTTACAGGGAACCGAACCCGGGACTCTCTCTAACCACTGAACAAAACCGGCCAAGGCTGTAATGCCCATTTCTTGATGAGTTATGTGTACAGGTTACTGAGTAAAAACCCTTAGTCTAAAATCAGTTAATTTTTTTAAATAACTGAAAAAATAAGGGCACTGTCCAGCATGTCTCAAGATGGATATGACTTAAAAAGAGACTGAGTCAGGACCGGCCAGTGTGGCTCGGTGGTATGCTTTGGATCAGATGGGTCAGTGTCAGACCAAGCACCCAAAAGTGAACGGGAACAAAGTCCCTCGAAGCCTCCAGTGTTCCTGCACTGGGTGGGAACAGAACAGGCGGAGTCTGGGCAGCTGGAAGCCAACAACGCCCCATATCGCAGGCCCGCACCTCAGATCTACCTGCACATTCATCCCTCCTCCGTCGCCGTCACCAACTCATTCTCATTTCAGCGCGTCTTGCTCTGCTGTAGACCTTCTTGTCCTAACTCTGCATCCACCTCGTCCAGGCTCTCAGCCTCCTAGGCCTGCATTACTAACACATTCATCAGCCTTCTCCTCCAGGAGCCCAGCACTGTCATGTGATGTTAAAGGTTCTGGCAATCAGCTTAAAAGCTGAAAAGAAACAAGTTAGATTATTTTAATAATATATTTTTATGTACTGCAATGCATGGAAAATATAATTTCAATAGTTATTTATAAAAACATCTATGTGATACTTTATTTTTATACTAAGTCCTCAGAATCTGGTATTTTATACTGCAGCGTGTCTCACATCAGACCAGCACGTTTCAGTGCTTATGAGTCACGTGTGACTGGTAGCTATGGTCCCAGACTGAAACAGACTTGGAGAAGGGGGACTAGAAGCCAAGAATCTATATATTCAGCAAAATACCCGATGTAGTCTGTTCTGTACACCCATTCTATAACCATAACTGAAATTACATTTGGGTAAATTGCCCCTTTAATTATGTCAATCCTAAGGACCCAGAAATCCCTGGTACTTTCAGTTCTATCAACTCAGATGGGTGTGCAGAGCTCCCTAAAAGTGGCCTCACTTACCCATCCAACCTGCTCTCCAGGTGGAAAATGTTTTGGGTTCTCCCATGAAGTTTTCCTAGGCAAATATTCACAGGCTCATTCATTCATCAGATATTTGTGGAGCACCCACTGAACGTCATCCTGGATCCTCCACCCAAACAGGAAAGATATTGCACAAGTCATCTCGTAGTTATAACAATGCAACTGTACCCTTGAAAGCAATGCCGGAAACTGCACCCGGAGATGCTCTGAGAACCTGTAAGAAGAGGACCTCATAGTCTGAGGCGTCACAGAAAATGTCTTCAATGCACTAACATTGAGGTTAAAAGAGTATAAGTATAATATGAGTTGGAACAGATAAAATGAAATTTCTAGGCAGAGGAAAGCACATTAGGAAAAGCTGAGAGGTGGAAAAGTAAGGACTGGAGCAGGCAGATAAGAGAGTAATCTGAAAGCACACTGCCTGGGAAGGCGGGACAGGTGAGGCCACAGACAGGAGGCCACAGACAGGTGAGGCCACAGACAGGTGAGGCCACATTTGTGAGCCTTCCATTGTCTTATTAGGTGAGGCGTGCATATTTACACACTCCTCAAAATGTACAGACCATGCCTTCTAGACCTAACTATTTCTTTTATCTCCTCCTAAAGCACTAGTACTTATAAATACTTCCTCTCTGTATAGAAAACTCATGTATTTGGGGAGGCTTTTAAAGTCTAGAATCTGCAAACGGTACTGACAATTCATTTGCATCACGGACTATATTACCATGAAACCAAGGAAGTCTCCCCAAAGTGCTGAGACTAAAGGGTGTATGTTTTACTGGGTCGGGTCAGCCTATGACTGGTTATGCTGTTTTACTCTCAAACTGATGCAAGTCTGACATCTACCATTGTCTCAGACAGAATTCTAAGACGGCCCCAAACTGGTGACCTCTGGAGGACACATCTTGTGTAACCCTCCCCTCCAGTGCGCCAGATCCTGCGAACTCCACGGGCACCTTGCACGAGGGGGGTCAGCAGGGGGAGATGACCTGCCTGGGGCCGACCTCACCAGGCGAGCCAGGGAGACACCAGTGACGAGGTCTAAGCAAGGGCTACCTGGCAAAGGCACAGAGTGGCCTCTGGACAACGGCCAGCGAGAGGACAAGGGCCTCAGGGCAAGACCCACAAGCGTGAATTCTGCCACCCACGAGGGGCTCGGATGAGACCCCTGGCCTGCAGGACGCCAGGAACCCGGGGGCCTCGTTTCAAACCGAGATCCGCGGTCACCTGCTCCGCATTGGCAGGTGCTCCGACCACACCGCCGGTCGGGGCTGCGTCTCAGGCCCAGCTTTCAACCGCAGCCTCCGGAACAGCGAACGCGCTCACACTGAGCGCGCACCCGCTGCTTCCCGCCCGTCACCCGAACGCGGGGTCCTGGACCCTGGGAGTCGGCCCAGGGACCCGCGGCCCCTCCGCTCCGGGAGCCGCCGCAGTGAGCAGCCCGAGGCGTGGAGCGGCCGCACGCCGCTGCCCGGCCCACCCGGCGACACTGCGGCCACCTAAAGCGCAGCTGGGGCCACTTTGAAAGTCCCTCCCGAACTCCCAAAGGTGCTGCTGGTCGCTCAGCCCCCGGCCGGGGAGCGGCCACTAACATCGGACCGGCCCTTCACCCCCGGCCCCGCCCAGGGGACACGACGGAGGGGACCGGCGGCCTCCGGCGGCTGACAACCGGAACTGCCGGCCACGCCTCCTCCTGGGGCGGGGCGGGCGCGTCGGGGGCGGGGCGGGCGCGTCGGGGCGGGGCGGGCGCGTCGGGGGCGGGGCGGGCGCGTCGGGGCGGGGCGGGCAGGGCGGGGCGGGCGCGCCTGCGCAGAGACGACGGCGTGGTGCGTCGTTACTTTTGAAACGAGTGGCGGGAGCTGCTGCGAGCCCCGGCTGGCGGTGTGCGGAGTCCGTGGGCGGTGTCCGTGTGCGGTGGGCGCGCGCCGCGGCTGTGGGCCCGGCCATGGCGCGGCAGCTGGCCCGGGAGCAGGGCATCACCCTGCGCGGGAGCGCCGACATCGTGGCCGAGTTCTTCTGTGAGTCGTGCGCGCGGCGGGCCGGGGCCGGGCCTGGCGGGGGAGCGGGCGGCCCGGGGGGCGGGGGGGGGCAGCCTCCCGCCAGGCCGGGAATCCGCGGGGGCGGCTGCGGGCGCGACGCCGGGACGGTGGCGAGGGAGGCCGGGTGCTGCCGAGCCCGCCGGCGACGCGGCCTCCCCCGAGCGCCCTGAAAGCGCACCCGCCCCTGGGCCCAGCGACCCGGGACGCCGCGCGCCTGCAGCGGGGCCCCCGTGTGTCTCCCCGCCCGCCCCGGCGACGGGCCGTGGGGAGCCGGCGCTCTGGGAGGCGCCCTCCTGGGAGCCCGGCGGGCCTGGGAGGCGGGAGGAGGCGGCTTCCTGGCGCGAGGGCTGTGCCACCCTCTAACCGCACAATCAGAGTTTGCGCCCGGATTGCAATGCGGTGGAGAGCGCGTGCCGGGCGCTCCGCTCTTATTGCCGAGTAAATGCAGCTGCCCCCCTCTGTTCCTTAGAAACAAGACTACGAAGATGTTAAATGGCACTTAACACCCACTGTGCTCTCAGCAAGACACGCAGACACGTGTGTTTAGGCATTTACAGCTTAATATCATAAACGAAACCGCAGCCGCATGTAAATGTGTCTCATTTCCCGGTGTTACAAAGTGACAGCGACTTATTAACATTTTCTTTTGTTTTCAGCCTTTGGCATCAATAGCATTTTATATCAGCGGGGCATTTATCCGGCCGAAACCTTTACTCGAGTGCAGAAGTACGGACTCACCCTGCTTGTAACCACGGATCCTGACCTCATGAAATACCTAAGCAATGTGGTGGAGCAGCTGAAAGGTATTCATTATTGGGAACAGTTTCGAGTTTGGCAGGCTTTTTAGAGACCGCATTTTCTAGCATCTCGGTGCATTTTTCAGCTCTGCACACAGAAGATGTAAGACAAACTACATCTCAAATATAGTGACAATTGCGAGGACACAAGTAAACGTAAATTAATGTCAGGACTCTGATAAGCGTAACAAAACTGTCTCCATTAACTCCCTAGAAGATTACTTGTGCATTTTGGGGCCAAATGGAACCAGTTGGAATTTTACAGAATTGTGATGGTGTTTATTATCTGTGGGGAAAAAATGCTATATATTCTTAATATATGTTTTCTGTACCTTAACGAAACCTAAAGCCATCATTATTATTAAGATCAATAAAATTGTATTCAACATGGGAACTTCAAAAATATAAAAAAGGAAGAAAAAGAACTACTAAATAATAGAGTACCCAGTAGCCATTTCCTGTGGAATGGCTCCCCGGTACCCCCCTTGTGCACCTATAGGCCCTGTGGAATGGCTCCCTGGTGCCCTCCTTGTACACCTGTCTCAGATACTTCAAGTCACATGCCAAGCTAAACTTAAGTCATCCGTATACCCTCCATCCAACTGGGGATAGAGCCAGAAACGGGTGCTCTTGCTGACGCTCACGGGCAATCAGTTCACAGTTAACAGCACCGTCTCCTGAGCCCTCTCCTACTCTGTCTCTACCAGCTATCTCCTGCAGGCCTTGACCTCCTGCCTGTGTCACTAGTCCTTCGATCCCCTCCCGTCCGTTTTCCACACCACAGCCAGAGCAGTTTGGAACGCAGGTCTGACGGCATCACACACTGCTTTCAATACAGTCGTGCCTTCCCGGGTGCTTGGAGTAGAAGGTCTTGGATTTGGCCCACACGTGGCAGCCCTGCTCACCTTGCCAGTCTCACCTGTTCAGTCTCCTTTCTCACCCGCAGTTACCTGGCCTTTCAGTTCTCCCTCTGGTCATGCTCTTCCCTTTGGAGTGTAAGACCCGGCACCCTCTTCCCCGTCCTTGCTGGTCAATGCTGCGGGTGCATAGAGCTAAACTCAAGCCGCCCCGAGTGAGAACCCCCTGGGGGAGTCCAGTTCCTCACTCCATGCTCATTGCGCCGCGTAGCAGTGATCACAACTGTACTTTCATGCTTACGGTGCGGCGCTCAGACCAGCGCTGGTCTCCCGCGTCCTCGGCCTGCATGGGGGCGGGAGGGCCATGCGTTCACTGCTTCTCGGGCCAGGTTACTGCTGGGGAGGTGGGAGGGGTGCAGAATACTGTGGTGAGAACCCCCGAGGTCGGAGGTGAGTCCGAGCAGGAAGCTCCTCTGCCGCAGCAGTGCCGGCTGGTGGCCCTTGTGTTGCAGATTGGCTGTACCGGTGCTCGGTGCAGAAACTGGTGGTGGTCATCACGAACATTGAGAACGGGGAGGTCCTCGAGAGATGGCAGTTTGACATCGAGTGTGACAAGACTGCCAAAGATGACAGGTAAAGATGAATTATTTCACTTTCATATTTCCCCCCAAAACTTGCTTTATTTACTAAAATGAGATCTGATTATATTGAACTAGGTTCATTTAAGTTATAATTTGTGCCTAACATGTTAATTTGATTTTCAGTCTCCTGCAGAAGAGAACTTTGCTCACTTTAGCGTATCACTGGTTTGTACAGATAGTGTACTTTTACCTACTTCTTTTTGTCTGCATCGGTGAATCTCAGACCTGAACATTTATGGTGGTGTGTGCAGAACTGCACACGATGTGCTAGGTGGGATGTACTAGGTGGGCTGGGTGGAGATACCTTTAACCTCAGGGATCACCCTAGACTCGCCCAGCCCCCGTGCAGCCCTAGGGCCCATCCGTGATTGTTTCTCACAAGGAAGTGAAATTGGCTTCTGAAGCCTTTGGTCTATAGCAGGAAATGTGTAGCTTATACAAATAATTTGAGGAAGTGGAGAATTAGGCATTACTAAAAATGCCAAAGTGATTATACCCATTAAATGTTCTAGATGCTACTTGCTTTTTTATTTTCAGAGGTAGTGGTTTTCCTAACTTGAACCACTTGACAGTTTCTAACAGATGACTGGGCAGGATAAATGAAATACTAGATACATATTGTGCCCACTCAGTTATAGTTCCTAAGGATGTACTTATATTCATTTAATAACAAACTCCTTTTTAATGTATTACTTATTTGATTTTGGAAGCATTTACTCAGATAAATAATCTTATCAATGTTTGAAATAACTTGTTAAAACTAGAAAGGAATTGATTGATTTGGTTTCTTTGATAGTGCACCGAGAGAAAAGTCTCAGAAAGCTATCCAAGATGAAATCCGCTCAGTGATCAGACAGATCACAGCTACTGTGACCTTTCTGCCCCTGTTGGAAGTTTCCTGTAAGTAGTACAGTTTCTTGTGGGCTTACATTTGTTGGGGAAAAGGCTAAGATACTGCTTTAAGAATTATCTCTTCATTAAATTTTTTCTTAGTTCTCAATATGTACTGTAAATGAGGAAGAAAACATCATAAAACATAAAAGTTTATGCATTCCAGAAACTTTGGAAATGGACCGTGTCCTGCAGTGTTCACTCATGAACGTTTGGTGTGACTCCTTCTCTGTTTCTGTTCTCTGCGCATTCCTACCTGTGTAATTCAGACAAGAACCGTGACTGTCGCTGTCCTTGGCGACTCCTCCTGTCTGACAGCTCCTGACCCCTGCACAGCGCCCCCTGCTCATGGCGCAGCCGCCATGGGACACATGTCCTTCTCCACGGCCACACTCAGCTGCCCCACATGGACACGTGCTTCTTCTCCACGGCCACACTCAGCTGCTCCACACGGGACACGTGCTCCTTCTCCACGGCCACACTCAGCTGCCCCACATGGACACGTGCTTCTTCTCCACGGCCACACTCAGCTGCCCCACACGGGACGCGTGCTCCTTCTCCACGGCCACACTCAGCTGCCCCATATGGGACACGTGCTCCTTCTCCACGGCCACACTCAGCTGCCCCACACGGGACACGTGCTCCTTCTCCACGGCCACACTCAGCTGCCCCACACGGGACACGTGCTCCTTCTCCACGGCCACACTCAGCTGCCCCACACGGGACGCGTGCTCCTTCTCCACGGCCACACTCAGCTGCCCCATATGGGACACGTGCTCCTTCTCCACGGCCACACTCAGCTGCCCCACACGGGACACGTGCTCCTTCTCCACGGTCACACTCAGCTGCCCCACACGGGACACGTGCTCCTTCTCCACGGCCACACTCAGCTGCCCCACATGGACACGTGCTCCTTCTCCACGGCCACACTCAGCTGCCCCACACGGGACACGTGCTCCTTCTCCACGGTCACACTCAGCTGCCCCACACGGGACACGTGCTCCTTCTCCACGGCCACACTCAGCTGCCCCACATGGACACGTGCTCCTTCTCCACGGCCACACTCCCGCTGCCCCACACGGGACACGTGCTCCTTCTCCACGGCCACACTCAGCTGCCCCACATGGACACGTGCTCCTTCTCCACGGCCACACTCCCGCTGCCCCACACGGGACACGTGCTCCTTCTCCACGGCCACACTCAGCTGCCCCACACGGGACACGTGCTCCTTCTCCACGGCCACACTCAGCTGCCCCACATGGACACGTGCTCCTTCTCCACGGCCACACTCCCGCTGCCCCACACGGGACACGTGCTCCTTCTCCACGGCCACACTCAGCTGCCCCACACGGACACGTGCTCCTTCTCCACGGCCACACTCCCGCTGCCCCACACGGGACACGTGCTCCTTCTCCACGGCCACACTCAGCTGCCCCACACGGGACACGTGCTCCTTCTCCACGGTCACACTCAGCTGCCCCACATGGACACGTGCTCCTTCTCCACGGCCACACTCAGCTGCCCCACATGGACACGTGCTCCTTCTCCACGGCCACACTCAGCTGCCCCACATGGACACGTGCTCCTTCTCCACGGCCACACTCAGCTGCCCCACATGGACACGTGCTCCTTCTCCACGGCCACACTCAGCTGCCCCACATGGACACGTGCTCCTTCTCCACGGCCACACTCAGCTGCCCCGCATGGACACGTGCTCCTTCTCCACGGCCACACTCAGCTGCCCCACATGGACACGTGCTCCTTCTCCACGGCCACACTCAGCTGCCCCACATGGACACGTGCTCCTTCTCCACGGCCACACTCAGCTGCCCCGCATGGACACGTGCTCCTTCTCCACGGCCACACTCAGCTGCCCCACATGGACACGTGCTCCTTCTCCACGGCCACACTCAGCTGCCCCACATGGACACGTGCTCCTTCTCCACGGCCACACTCAGCTGCCCCACATGGACACGTGCTCCTTCTCCACGGCCACACTCAACTGCCCCACATGGACACGTGCTCCTTCTCCACGGCCACACTCAACTGCCCCACACGGGACACGTGCTCCTTCTCCACGGCCACACTCAACTGCCCCACACGGGACACGTGCTCCTTCTCCACGGCCACACTCAGCTGCCCCACATGGACACGTGCTCCTTCTCCACGGTCACACTCAGCTGCCCCACATGGACACGTGCTCCTTCTCCACGGCCACACTCAGCTGCCCCACATGGACACGTGCTCCTTCTCCACGGCCACACTCAGCTGCCCCACATGGACACGTGCTCCTTCTCCACGGCCACACTCAGCTGCCCCACATGGACACGTGCTCCTTCTCCACGGCCACACTCAGCTGCCCCACATGGACACGTGCTCCTTCTCCACGGCCACACTCAGCTGCCCCACATGGACACGTGCTCCTTCTCCACGGTCACACTCAGCTGCCCCACATGGACACGTGCTCCTTCTCCACGGCCACACTCAGCTGCCCCACATGGACACGTGCTCCTTCTCCACGGCCACACTCAGCTGCCCCACATGGACACGTGCTCCTTCTCCACGGCCACACTCAGCTGCCCCACATGGACACGTGCTCCTTCTCCACGGCCACACTCAACTGCCCCACATGGACACGTGCTCCTTCTCCACGGCCACACTCAGCTGCCCCACACGGGACACGTGCTCCTTCTCCACGGCCACACTCACGATGCCCCGTGTGATTATACACTGTCAACAGATATTTTTTAATGCTTTTTTCTGTAATAAAAATAAAACTTGAGTTTTTCATGAGATAAAGTAAAAGGAGTGCGGCCGTTCCTGTAGTGAAGACACATTCATTGAGGAAAAGCAATAACCTGGCGATCAGGGACCAGGCCAGCCTGCCTCTCCTGCCGCTGGGCGCTCACAGTGGGGGGCAGGGGTACTTTCCGAGAACGTGATGCACCTGGATGATCTTGTCCCCCTTCAGGTTCATTCGATCTGCTCATCTACACTGACAAAGATTTGGTTGTGCCTGAAAAGTGGGAAGAGTCAGGACCCCAGTTCATTGCCAATTCGGAGCAGGTCCGTCTGCGGTCCTTCACCACCACCATCCACAAGGTGAACAGCATGGTGGCCTACAAGATCCCCGTCCACGACTGAGGGGCCGAGCGCCGCGTGGGCCCACGTGTGTCCTGTCTCACTGAGTAGTTTTTAGGTGGAGAACTTGACAGTACCCTGGCTGAGCTGTGCACGGTGTTCAGGGCTTTGGCACCTGTTTGGCTTTCCGTGGGTCTGATGTCATGTTTGCGCCCTGTTCAGAGGAGCCAGCAGGTCACAAAAGCAGTCAGTCCCTTTGAGGGTGGTAACTGGAGATGAAGAACTTTTGCTATAAAGAAAACTCAGTGCTTCTAACCCAGACCAAGTAGCTTGACTCGGAATGTAGGTCAGTGTGAAACAGCAAGAGAAGTCTGGCGTTCAGAATCTTTGTTTAGTCCTAAAGTAACAGGTCATCCACAGTCACAGAACATCCCAGAAGACTCTTGCCGTTTATTTCATTTGTATAGTTTCCATGTTGAAAAAGATCTCCAGTTATTTGATTTTAATGTATATAATTTTCTTAGAAAGCTGTCCCTATTTCTACTGTTTAAATTCTGGTAATATAGAACTCTTAATGTCTTTCTGTGTTTTATAAAATCAAGCTTTAAACGATAATGATAAATAAAGTTAAATGTATATGTTTTAAACTTGTCTTGAAATATTTTTCATGAGTGCGGTGCTACTCCAGTTAGATCAGGGTGGATTCAGTACAGTGGGCCCCTATCTGCGGGTTGGCTCTCCACGGCTTCAGTTACCCTCAGCCACAGTCGGAAATTCCTGAAACAAACAGTTCATAGGTTTTAGAATTCATGTAGTGTGACAAAACCTTGTGCTGGCCAGCTCTGTTCCCGGGGACATGAATCACCCTGTGCCTAGTGTCTCACGCTGTAGATGCTCCAAACCCATCAGCCGCTTAGTAGCTGTATGATAACACATTTTAGCTCATAAAGGCTCCCAAGTGCGAGGGTCGTGATGCTGGCAGTTCAGGTGAGCAGAAGAGAAACATGCTGTGCTTCATTCAGGTGAACAGGGTGTGTGTTTGTGTAGGCAAAACCAGTGTAGATAGTGGGGTGCTGTCCATAGTTCCAGGGGTCCACTGGGGATCCTGGAACTCTATCCCCCATGGATAAGGGGGGCTGCTGCACACCCAACTAGGTTGTAGGGCCTAAGGATACAGGTGAGTAAGTCTTGTCCTTTCAATGTAACGGGCTGTGACGGTCCCTCTGTGTCGAGGGATCGTGCCATTTGGAACTAATCCAGTTTAGCCGACGTTGGATTGTAGAGCCCTGTCCGCCTGTCGTCAGCCTGGCTTCACGTACAAACTTAAACACGAGGCATTCCCGTGCCCGTGGTTTCTCTAGAGCTTTCGATGTAGTTCCACCTACTTGTCCAAGGTGCGTTTAAGGCAACCTCATCGGTCTTTCCTAACCTAACTGTTCATTTTGTAACAATTCAATATGTTATCAGACACTGTTCTACGCTCTTCATAGGGATTCATTTGACTTCCACTATTAAGTACACATTGTATCCATTCAAATGTTACATAGTGGACTTCTATTCACAAGCAGAATACTGGGTGCCAGGTGAGTGAAGAGGTCCTGGCCTTTCTGCAGCTGGACACCTGCGAAGGGAGGAAACTGGGCGAAGAGCCAGGGTGTGGCCAGACAGGTGGCTCTCACCCTGGGTGCGTCTCCCTTCCCGATGGCCTCGCCCCGCTGACCTCGTCCCGCTGACCGGGCGTGTGCTCCACGGAGGCAGCGCCCACGTGCTCTCCGCTCCCCCTGGCACACAGCTGCCGCGTCTGGCGGGGGCATCGTGGGTGGTGGGAGAGCCCCCCCAGGAGCTGCTGAAGCATCTGGCTGACGCCCACCCACCGGCCTTCTTCCCTCGGTGAGGAAAGTGGTTGTCAGAAATGGAAGGGACACTGGGTTAGGTCCAGTCAAGAGGGTTCCGAACACCACAAGGTGTGCCACAGAGTGGACGCAATTCAGGTGAAAACATTTGAATTCATGGGCTGCTCCTAACTTCTTCACATGCGCAGCACAGGTTGAGAAGGAAGGTGGGGCTTCAGTAAAAACACGGAGACAGTTGAGAACCTCGGCCCTGCTTGGAGGACGCACACAAATTCCGGCCGTAAGCAGGGCCGCTCCAGGCAGGCGTCGAACACGTCTCCGAGCAACGGGGCGTTCTCCCCTCCGAGCTCAGCAGCAGCAACATTCTGGTATGTCACTAATAATTCTTAAAGATCTGTCATTTGTCAAAGGATCCTAATATTACTACTTTTAATTTGTGAGTCTTTATGGGACTGACTTCTCTCCTTTAGGAGGTGTGCCCAGAAGTAATGCCTATTCGACTTTTAGTACAGAATCCAGAGCTTCTGCCATGCAGCCTATGCCTGAAGTCCCCATCACCAGTTCTGCGTCACCTGGGCTCCTTGGCTTTGAAAACATGGAAAACCGGCTTGGGAACAATTCAACGGAAGACGTGTTCGCTGCGTAGGGAACGGGGGGGAAGGCTGAACCCCGGGGTAGGACAGCGTCGGGCTGTCGGGGCAGACGGGCCCTCTCAGATCTGACACACAGGACCGCTGCTGCGAGCGGACCTGCCCACGTGACGCGGGCGGTGGTTTCCAGAAACGTGGAGTGCAAACCTTTGTGCGTGTTTTGACAGAGACGTGAGACTGGGGGTTCTCTGAAATCGCACTTTCAAATACTTGGATCACATCATCTGTTAACTGGGCTAAATTAGAGTTTTACTACTTTGTGAGGTTATGACGTTTTTTCACCCCTTACAAATTGTGTGTCCGTTAAGAAATGCACACACTGGAGATGAGCAGGATCCAAGCTCTGAGCCCTACTGGTCGAGCTGGATGGGAAGCTCTGGCCGCTGACTGCACTGGACTTGTCCCCTCGTCTGGACCTGACGCTCACCTGAAAGGGAGACCGAGCGACAGTGGGGAGAGCCGTGGGCGGCCCCACCACACCTGAGTGTGCGGAACCAGAGGTGGTGCCTCTGGGCCTGGCCTCTGACTCGGCGTGGCTCACTGTGGCTGGAGGAACAAACACACGTGCTAGGTGAGCCACCCTGCTCTGACGTAGAGCCCTGAAGGACCCCTGCCCTCTGCCCAGGCCACCAGCAGGACGGGGAAGCCGGCCCTCCGGGCATGTCTGCACCGGGATGGACCATCTCCGGGACCAGTTGGACGGGGAAGCCATCCCTCCGGGCATGTCTGCACCGGGATGGACCATCTCCTGGACCAGTTGGACGGGGAAGCCATCCCTCCGGGCATGTCTGCACCGGGATGGACCATCTCCTGGACCAGTTGGACAGGGAAGCCATCCCTCCGGGCATGTCTGCACCGGGATGGACCATCTCCTGGACCAGTTGGACAGGGAAGCCATCCCTCCGGGCATGTCTGCACCGGGATGGACCATCTCCGGGACCAGTTGGACGGGGAAGCCGGCCCTCCGGGCATGTCTGCACCGGGATGGACCATCTCCGGGACCAGCTGGACGGGGAAGCCATCCCTCCGGGCATGTCTGCACCGGGATGGACCATCTCCGGGACCAGTTGGACGGGGAAGCCGGCCCTCCGGGCATGTCTGCACCGGGATGGACCATCTCCTGGACCAGTTGGACGGGGAAGCCATCCCTCCGGGCATGTCTGCACCGGGATGGACCATCTCCGGGACCAGTTGGACGGGGAAGCCATCCCTCTGGGCATGTCTGCACCGGGATGGACCATCTCCTGGACCAGCTGGACGGGGAAGCCGGCCCTCCGGGCATGTCTGCACCGGGATGGACCATCTCCGGGACGAGTTGGCTTTGCTGCACAGCAGACAACCAGAGAAGGTCAACAGCAAGCTTTTCCCTGCAAGTCTGCAGGTGACCTGCGTGCCTGTCTTCTCAGGCATGTCTGCAGGCACGTGTCCCGTCTCCCAGTGAGAAGTGGTAGTGTCCACACTTGGACTCCCCACACTCCACGGACCGCGGCACTGCTCATGGCTGAGCCCATTTCAATGGGGCAGGGGTCCTCCTCCGCGGAGACGGGGAGGGGGGTCTGATGAAGAGATGGGGTCTAACAGCCCCGGGCTGTGCACCGTGTCTGTAAAAGGGCAGGTCCGAAGAGCGAGGCTCGCGGCCGGTCCTCGTGGGATGGTAGCAGCTCAGACAGCAGGAAGCGGACGAGCCTGGCTGCACTCGGCAGCGAAGCCAGGCAGGGCTGACCCGCTGCGGTTGTAGCTGCCCACCTGTGATCCGTCACAATGTGCTCTTTCGGTCACGAGTTTCCAACCCCACCTGGCTCAGAGCATTGACTTCTGATATCGAGGGCTCACGTTTGAAACACGACCTGTTGTCTCCTCCACGTGTCTCAAATCGCATGTTTCCCCTGAAATCCTGCTGCTTGTTGGAGGTGCTCCACAGGACACCCCACAGCGACCCCCCCGAAGCTTGGGAAGGGAGGTCTTTTGGCATAGGTTGCATAAAGAAAGACTCGGACTAGCCTAAGGGCTCCAGACCTCTACTCTTTGTCACCATGTAAACCCGCAGGCCGAAGCAATCTCTTTATAATAGGATGATGCATTTGAGTTTCTTAGGCTCATCTTTTAGAATATAGACTCAAAAATTATTAGCTCAATAAAGTTGGTGTCTACCTAGACATTTAATTTTTTTACCTTCTGTTTTCGCTTTGTTGCTTAGTCTGTAAAATATATCTTAATTGCATTATACTTAAAAGATCAGAATGGCTGTGACTACCCCTACATTGTAATACCTGAATTGTCCACTAGATGTCACTAATGCCGTAATAGTCAAATTAGGATGAATTTCTTTTGACGCTACAGATTATAATCAGCTTTTCTTACTGGAAGTTAACACTGGCATTTCTGGCCACAGAAATCTAAAGACCGGGAAATACAGCATCTGTTCTTGGCTGAGCACTTCGCACGAATTATTTCATGGAATACTCATGCTTTAGTGTGTCCAGAACAAACTGGTTCCTTCGCTGCGCTTTACAAAACTTGACATCTCCTTGGGCAAGTTTGTATTTACACTTTCCTCAGATGACTGACCAGCGCATGGGAAGAACCAAAAGACAGAGACATGGTCCTGTACCTCATCTATACGGTTTTACAAATACATCAGGTGTGAGTTTGTGAGCAGTTGTGAAAGTTTTCCGACTAATCAGAAGAATGGTTCATTAAGCTACCCGAGTTCCTCTTTGGAGAATTCATTTTTAGCTTAACTTGTAAACAATTCGTTTTTCTTTTTTATTAAATGGGTGGAATTGCACTTTAAATTATTTTTACTATGATTTTTAAATTGATTTTAGAAAGAGAGGGAGGGAGAGGGGAGAGAGAAACATCCATCAGTTGCCCCTTACGCACACCCTGACCAGGGATTGAACCCGTTACCTGGGCCTGGGCCCTGACTGGGGATGGAACCTGTGACCTTTTGGTCCACGGAACGACGTTCAGTCAACAGCCACACTGGCCAGGGCCATTTCGTTCAGTGTCACCATGACAACAT